CTGGGAAAAATGGTAGGAGCTGAAGTCTTGGAGTTTTTCAGAAAAGCAGAACACTTCTGCAGAGCTGATCTTCCTGGACACATAGATGTCAGTGTTCAAGAGTAATCTTACATCGTTGTGGCAAAACAAAGCACTTGCACTGATGGAGCTCTGGCAGCACACATGCCTCATTGACAAGGAACAGAGGGGTGATGTTATGGTGAGTTTGTAGGAGCAGCCATAAGGAACAGCACAGACTACAACAGTCTGAGCTTTGGGACACTTAATGTGCTGAGCCTAGAATCCATATGGCGATTTGAGCATTAATTTACATCTTTACTACCTTAAAGAAATGTTATTTGAGGATATGAAACTGTAAAACTACTGACAATACCTTGATATCGAGTATAAGGTCAACTTCTATCACAAGAACTCTGTAAACAGAAATAAAGTTCATCAGAAGGAGGGGAGTGATGTTGAGAGCTTAAGCTGACCATGAAGTTGTCTAAGCCACAGATTATCAAGAACACTTTCAATAGCCTTTGGCTTCCTATGATGGCTGAGGGGAAGGGGAATGGGAATGGTTCTTAAGTTTAATCAAGCTGTATTGTTTTAGGCAATTGCAGTCAGGAAATGGTCTCCGAGCCTGTATCTTCTTCCTTTGCTCTGTTTATGTGTACAATAGGCTGTCTGTGACTGCTCTGTAAAACTTGTTGGCCTTGGCACCTTGCTTGTAGTGAGTATTTCAAGGTCAGCGCTGTTTCTGTTGACTTTCACTGTACCAGGGAATCTAAGAGGACACATCTTTTCCAAGTGTTCTGCTAAACTCCACATTTTGAGTATTCAGTATAGCTGCTCAAATTTCTTAAGTCTGAATACTCGGGCTTTTCTGTCTTCATTTTGGGGGATGTTTAGATACAGCACTTCAGAAAGAAGTCAGGGAGTGAAATTAGAAGGCTGTTCAGGTAAACTTCTGCTGTCACAGAACGGTGCTGAAACAGGATTTCTCATGTAGGGTGGTCATTCAGTTGCCCAAAGCCAAATGACATCTATAGTAGGTTTTGCTACAGTTCTAAAGGGACATCAGTTTTTGGAAGTTGAAACTGGGAATACCTACTGAGGGTTATTTTAATAGTGATGTATGTTTGGCCTTTGGACTTTCCTAGCTACCAGAAATAAACTTCTTCAACAGCTTGTGACAGTAGCGCAGCACCTCTGAGCGGTTCTGTGACTTAGGAAGTCTGAGTGCGAGTAGTTAGCATAGTCTTGTAGACACTTATTTAACTGGCACCTTCCACAACAAAGGGCTGATATTTGAAGTACTCTTTCACTAAAAATCTACAGTTAGAATTTTAAGTCCTCCTTATCCTGCTAAATTGGTCAGAGCCCTAAATGCCCAGCACACCTAGCCCTTTGCTTGTTAGTTATACTGACTTGTGCTCTCTGAAGAGATGTCAACACATCTGAGAGAATGTGCTGGCAACTGCAGGAACCAGACATGGCCAAGTTGTGTACTCACTTGAAGTAACAGACTGTAACAAAACTATTTGCATCTGCATTGCTGATGGTTTTCACTTGTTTAGTGAAAGTGTGAGCTGAATGTTTCACTAGAAGCCCTTAACCAGTGTTGCACAACTCTCTGCCCACTCAAAGCTTTCTCTTAAGAAGAAGCTGAGAAAAAGCACCAAATCATCAGGTCAAAACATTCAGAAAACAACGATTATTTTTCTTCTGAAAGAGCTCTAGTTCTCGTATACTGTGGGAGACTTGAGGCTGAATGAACTGAGAGGGTTCACACCAGGATAACAGTGGAAACTAGGCAGGCAAAGCATATGACACAAGTGTGACTGCTGCCTGTTGTAAAAGACCTATAAAGTGGAGAAATGGTATTGTTTGGTGGGCAATAACCAGTATAGCAACACCAGTACAGTTAAATCTTTACCACTGTATCATTCCACAAGAGTCAGTAAATTCTTTTAAAAGCAGGCTTTTCATTTTTATGGGAGTAAACTGCAGTGACACTAAAGTTTGGTTCTAGAAAACCGTATCCTTGGCTAACAGAAAAACTTGACCTCAAGAAGGGCTAGCAAGGAATCAAGTTTGATACTTGCTTACAGTCTCTGTCCTGACTCCGTGATCTTTTATTCCTGTGTAGTTACTTGGCAAGGTTAGTTGAGGTAGGATGTAAGAGCACAGGAGAAGAGCTGTGATTTTTCAGATTCTTCAGGGACCAAGAGATGGCTGCAGAGGCACAGGCTTTCATGTTAAAGCTTTCTGAACTGGGGTGCATGTGACTTGTTCCCACTGTATAGCAGGCGCTACACCTGTGTGTGTCTTCAGTGTACTTGCATTAACAAATATTTGGAGTTGACACAACTGCTCAGAACTGTGGTGGCTATGTTTTGCTCTAAGTACCAGTCCTGGATTGCAGTGAGAGAAAGGGTTGCTGTCTGGAACTAAACAGCTAGTTTGAATTAAACCTTTGAGACTTCTTAGCTACAGTCTGAGCATCTACAAATTTCCTGTTTTTCTTTAAGTGGTATAATTCAAAACCTTCTGCTGCAACCTATGAAAATAAAAACCTCTTAAAGAAAAAAACCCTCCAACCTGTGTACCTTATCTTGCTGTATAAAATGCTGTGGTGTCTTGGTGACTGCCAGATCACAAAGTGGTAACTTCGGCGCAAATGTGGTGGGTGTCCTTGACTGAGTCTGTTTTCCATTTTTACAGGGTTGGCGTGTTGGAGGACACCTTCACCTGTCTCGGGGTTTTGTGTGCCATTGTATTCTTTCCAATTGGGATTCTGTTCTGTCTTGCCCTGAGGCAGAGAAGATGCCCTAATTGTGGGGCAGCTTTTGGCTAAAGGGATGAACGTGGACATGCTTATGGAAGCTACAACTGTTAGCATACTCTTTCTAATGTAAATGTCATGTACAATCATTTTATTTGCTTCAGACCTGTTTTGTAAAGTGTGAAGAAATCTAGTCTCTTGCATGTAATTTAAACTTAATCTTTTATGAGCATGTGCATTGCAAAACATGAAAACCTAATGTGTTTTCCTGGTTTAGTCGCACCTGTTGACAACTAAATAAAACTGCTTTTCCTTTTGCAATCCTCAATTTGTGGCTGTATTATTAAATATGTGACTAATATGTCTGATAACATGTAGTCTGAAAGGGGAGTTAGTAATCCTAGCTACAAAGAAGGATAAATATTTGCCAGAATCCTTATGATAAAATAAGAAGACATGGTTTAGGGCTGTACTTCTTTAAGCACAGCAGATGTTTGAGGAAAGTGGTGCAAGTGCTGTGTGTGCTACGGCTATGCTAATGGACCCTCTCTGCCTTCTGAAGGCACAAACAGCACAGCCCTGTTTTAATGAGTGAGGGTTTTGCTTATAGGGACACACATGACCCCCAGGGCTGCAGTGGCAGTGTCCTGTCAGCTAGAGCAGAAGCTTCCTAACACTGGGGAAGTGGTAGGAGTTCACAAACAGCAGTAACTCTTCTCTAGAAAGAGAGGCTGGGGCACTGCCTTTACTGCATAAAGATTTTTACATTTCAGATTATTTAACTCAGATATGGCATTATTGAAAGCTTACACAGTCTAGGTTGACTTGCCTTTAATATGCTTTAGGAAATGGGCTCAGGTGTAAGTGACACTCCTGAAAAGCTGTTGTTTCAAAATGGTATAGTGGATATTTAGGCAAGGTTCAATAGCACATGAATCGTCCTTAGCCTTGAACATGAAAGGCAGTGAAAGTAAGAGGGGGAATGAGCAGACTCTACCTCTGCAGCCCTCCCATGCTCATATACTATTTTTTGATATTAAGTAACTGAAAGGCATTTCACATGACTTGAATTCACTGTTTATAGTAGTAGAAGCAGGCAGAACAAAATGAGTATCCATGGGATGCTGTAGGAAGCACATACATGTAAAGTAAAATGATTCAAGTAAGGATTAATTACTGGCCCTAGTCATAATGCAGACTGTACAGGGCAGGTGGGAAATATCACCTGAAGGGTACAGTGATAAAGCACTCAATGTGCTGCAGAGTGAAGAATCAGTTTTTAACATTCTAGGCTAATTTCCGAGATGATTGTTACTGTAGAAAAAGTCTTATAGACAAGCTAGCTCCCCTGGATTTAGAAAATCTGGGCCTAAGCTAAACTGTACAATGCTGCTTGTGACTGCTGTTAACAGCTGTATTTCACTTAGCCAGCATTAGGTGCCTTTACCAAAAATTTTCAAACAATCTGTTTGTCTTTTGTGGAAGGCTGCAGTAATAGAGTAACTTCAAAGGCAGCTTTTTATATTAGCATGTGAGAAAAATTAATGGCACTGTTTTATTATGACTTTTTGTAAGACTAAAGTTTGACAACATGTTTTTAAAGAAAAAAATATCATTGAAGAGGGTGTTGACAGCACATTATTAGACTTAAAATAGGTTTAACACTGGAAAATTTTGTATCTGAACATTAAGCAAAGCATTACAAATTGTCTATTCTTAAAGGATAAATATTTATTTATAACCTAGGGTATCTTTCTTAAACAAAATAATGTATAATCACTTTATACAGGCAATTCTCTATTCTGAATAAGGCAGTTACATTGTTCTGTTTGGAAAAAAAAAAGTTTTTCTTATTTAGTAAATGGCATATGCAGGCTTATATTCTATAACTTACCATTGCAGTTTCCAAATACTGAATGCCAAAGATTCAGATTGGTGAGCTATTAGTTACACTGGTTTACTAGAATATCCAAACTATCTCCAGTATTTTCACAACTCCTACTACAAAAGAAGGCATACTGTAAAATCAAGCCTAAGAGCTCAAACATTAGCCCAAAGCAATTACCTCATTAGAAAGTACAGGTTTAAAAAAAAATCAGAACTCCATTCCAGTATGATTCTTTTGTACAGTAATTACATTTAAATAAATTTTTAGAACAAGTTTAGATAGTAATGTCACTACTGAAAATGGTGTTTATAAGGAGGAAGCACATGTGTATGGACCATATATTCATCGAATAATTGGTGCTGATCTGTCATTTGTTACTGTTGGTCTGAGTTTCACGGTTGCAAAAGGATTTTCTCCACTGAAAAGAAATGCACAAAGTTACTAGAAGGCTTGCTGCAATATAAAACCAAATTTAGGCCATGCAGTTTCATCATCCCAGTTGTTTGAAGCTATTGTTTTAGACTAAAGGATTTTGTGCAACTCTTTAACTTGAACTTTTAGAACAAGCTTACATACGAAGATTCACTTTGCAGTGATCCAAAATTGGGGAAGTTAATGCCCAGTTAGATCTGGACTTTTATTTAAACAGTTCCTAGATTTCAGAGATTTTTTTTTTGTAACCCTCAAAGACATAGTTTAAGTCCTGCTCTCTGTAAAACTAAACTACTGGAGAAACATTTTTCTGAAAAGGGCCAGTGTGTTGTATTTTACTTGAGAAAGGTGCAACCAATTTTAGCTACCAATGCCTAGGAAAGGTCACAGAGTAATTCAGGAAAAACATCCTTATTTCCCCTCACAATCAATACAATAATATAAGCCAATATAAAAATCAACACAACTAAATTAGTGTAAAAGCTTTAGAAAATATATACCTTAGAAAAGGTGGTTTTATAATGCCATTCATGCCAGGTTTCTGTAAAAGAAAAAGATGATATTTACATAGATTTACAAAAACATGCTCCAGATGATCTTGCTACCCTGCTAAGGAAGAGGGACCCTATCACTCAACCAGGCTGACATATTTAGCCACTTAGAATAATTATTGTGCAGTTTGGTTGAACTGTGGAGAGGTAGTTGTGGAGGGAAGAATTATCTCTGAACATCAAAATTTGTTAAAGTTAAAAGTTAAAGTTGAAAAATGGTGTTAGCATTATCTGTTTTGCTTTCGTTTTTTTTTTTTTTGTGGTGTTCCCACCCCCCGATTTAAGATCAGCAATCACCTGAGGTCTAGCTGGGCATTTTACAGGTTAAAATAGCAAATTAAAAGTCACAGCAACAGCCATCGACCAAAAGAAAAGGGACAAAGCTACCTGCAGCACAAATACACCCTGCTGTTTCTATAGCATAAATTATGAACTGCCAGTTGTCACAGCAAAATACCAAAACTAGGATCTGAAGAGACTTGTTTTTATAGCTACAGTGTGCACTGTGCTGACGGGTGCTTCATTCTTGGGAAGTGAAGATAACCCAGAAGGTGGCATTGTGGCTCTCTCACAGTGCTGCTACAGGGTGCAGTGTTTCAGGTGTGATAAACAGAAAACTTGCAAAGTATTACCCTTTGCAAGCCTGTTGTGCTACATGGAAGCTTTGGCGGTTAATTTCTGCTCCTCCCCCCCAAATATGTAATTTTTAAGTACAATTATTACTAAATTTCAGACTGCAGACTCATTGCATTTTTTCGAATCAGTGTCAGATAAAGTGAAAATTTGAATGTGCATTCTTGCATGTAGAAGCAGGAACATGCAGTCACCTATGGAGCGGCTGGACTTGTACTAACCATTCCGTCGATCTGGCTTTTTTGTTTTTCAATACTGAAAATGTCACCACTAGACAGAGGCCTTTCCTTTCCAGGTGCATCACCTGTTGTACCAGGAGTTCCCATATTCACCATGGCATAATGCAGGTGAAGAAATCTATTTATTCTGGACCTAATTCAGCAGGGTTCTTAAGCACAGGCTTGACTTGTGATTCCAATCAAATTGCTCATGTCCATCAGTCATAAATAGAATTAGACCTTAGAATTGGGCCTAGTTAGCCCCTGAAATTAATGAGAATGAACAAACACTGGAATTATATGCTACTTCTTACTGAACACCTGCCCTCAAAGCACCATCAACTACTCCGTCTTTTTTAGTTGATATTGTTCTGCATAGTAGTGTCCAACGTAACACAGCATGAAAAATGTAACTGGCAAGAACCATTCCTCATCTTTCCTCCCTGAACTCCTGAGCTATTTTTTCCTCTGTATTCCGAAACAAAAATAAGATGTCTCAATGAACCATTTCCTGCTTCTGCACAAAGCCCCTGTAAGCATCTGTTTTACATGTATACAAATGCTGTACGAGAACACCAACCAGCCTGGTACAAAGTTAAGCTGATTCCCAAAGCTTATGGTGACGTGAGGGTTGGTGATTTGCATGGAAACAGGAAAGACAAGGAAGGTCTGCAGGTTTCCAAAAGAATGAAGGTAAATAGTGACTATGGAGCAAAAACATGGGTGCAAGTGCAGCAACTGCCCTCTACAGTTCTCCTTTATTTTGGATGGTAACAGGTAAGAAGAATCATGAAGTCCCAAGTAAAAAGGTAGCTGCTATGAGTTACGGGGTACCTCAACAAGAGTAGTCATCATTTTATAGTCCAGAATTCTTAATTTACTTTTTATATCTTGCTTTCTCTATGGAAAGTTAAAATCTCAAAAAAGATGTCTTTGTTTTCCACTCCTAAGAGGCTGTAAGCCCATTCTGGCCTCCAAAGAGAATATACTGTTCTAATGAGAGCTGTCCCCGTCTGTCAGCTAAATGATCTGCCATTCCCCTTGGTTCTTCAGTTCAACAAGAATGTTAGCCCACGAGCCTTAAGTTTATTGGCAAACCCCCTGAACTAATGCTATAGAACAAACAAAACAACCCTTAAGGTGACTGCTCCTGAGAGCCTACCGCAGACAGTTGTCCATACTGAACAGCAGCAGAACGGCACAGTGATACTGAGACAAAAAATTCTGTAATTTTTAAGCTCTATAGTAAGTCACCTTTTACTTGTCCCGGGGCAAAGAACTCACTGTACTGCTTGCTTGGCAACTTCCACAGGCCAATACATCTTTTAACTATTGCGAACATTTGAAGGACACGCTGATCCCATAGGTCTCAAGAGCTAGCCACAGAATAAGTGGACCAATGCATAAATCTGACATTACATAACTGTTAAAGCTCATTGCTTTGTTATCCAAAAATGAAAACCACAAATGTGTCAAAATATAGATGCTTGTCTTCATAATAATTTTAGAAGCTCCCAGATATTTGATTTGAAAGTGACTGAACGCTAAAATGTAAGTCTTATTTCTTGATATTAATTTCACAGATTGGAAAAGCTTTATTCCTCAGAGAAAAACAGTGTCTAGAAACACAGCATCACTGCACAAATTGTGTACTTCCTACACAACCAGGTTCATTACTGATAAGTAAAAACAGTTATTGAATGTAGATTCAAATAGGCTATGTTCAAATATATAGATATGCTAATAGTAGACTGTTCCAACAAAATCAGCTAATCTTTTAATACAAATATTTAGAGGAAAAAGAAATAATATCCCCAGACATTGCTACTCTAGTCTAAATGGGGTAAGATCTGAGAGGAGACCTTCACAAGTCCCTGTCAAGCAACTTTCATCCTTTTTGTTATGAAAGACTCTTGGCTCTGGTTGTATTCTTCATGCATTGTAAGGATCACAGGTTTTCCTATGATGGAAGCACTAGCCTTTTTCCCCCCTCCCTGCCAGAGAAAAGAGACTTTTTTTGTTTCAATTGCTGCAACTGCAAGAGATATCTTGGAAGTAGTAGCATTGTGTCTCTGTGTTGTATCTCTAGCTCCTCTTCTGAAACAGCTGTGGGCTGGCTTTACAAAGCCACATACAACCGGAGGGAACATTTCTGAAAGCCCTGTATAGCTGAACCTCCAGCAATTTTTCACATTTTATATATTGGCAAAGCTGAGGTGACCTGTTGTTCTTTTAAGAACTAGATATAAGTCTGATCTGATTACAGAAATTATTTCTTTAAAGACACACTATTTACTCAAGAAAGAAAATCAAGATAATTTCAACTCCTTTCCTCCCATTTGGTAAAATTCTCTCTTTCTCCATGCTTTTGAAATGTGGATAATAGTTTAAAATTCAGATATTACTGAAAATTCATGTAATTTGGGTCATGCTTGTGGCTTTCCAATGGTAGTTTTGTCTAGAGTTCTAGAGTGCTGTATTGGAAGTTATATTTTTGTTATTATTAAGTGAATGTTTCTATTTTTACTTACTTTAAGCACAGTTCATTCTCTTTGCTTGTCAATATAACAAAGGACTGTTAACCCCCTCCAGGGCCTAATACCACTAAGGAAGCAATGCTGTAGACACACATGGCATCCTAATAGTAGGCTTTAAATTGGCCTTAAATAGGCTCCTTTAAAGATGACTGTTGTTTTCTGATGCCTTTCCATTTCACAGGAGTACCATTAAAATATTCTGTCATCCTTTGGTCTTAAATGGGCTCTTTCACCATTAATCAAAATGTGATTCAACAAGCTTTCAGTTTTTGCTTTTTAAGTTTCTTTAGTTAATTTTACTTCCATAAAGTAAAAATTTACAAAGGCCACTTCAATTTCTACTGTATGATTCAGCAGATTACTCAGAAAGCACAGAAACATCAGTCAGAAGGAGAACCCAAAATTTGCTTAGATGTTATATTGATATGAAAATATTTGAGTCATATCAATAAATAATAAAATGTAAATTTTTTAGTGTGGCAGCCAACTATAGGATTACTGACTTCCGAGATGTTTGCTATGGTACCTACTAATGGAACTTTGCATCTTACCCTGGTACAGTCTCTCAGTTTTAGCAGTGACAACCTTATTTATATAAACTCACTAAGTTTTTTGCCATCAAAATGTGATCTCTGCTTCAAGAGGCTTTTTGAAGAAAGTCTCAAACATCACTATTAGATATGCATTAGCAAAATACTTAAACATGCAGCAAGAAAAAGACTAGTGATTGCTTAATTTGATTAGTCTTCATTTTGAATCAGTGTGAATGCTGACTTAATAGGAGCAATACTAGCTTTATATAGCATTATCTAGTCATAAAAATGCATTTCCACTCAGCTCTGTTTTTGCTGGATATAGACATTAGTTAGTGTACACACCCCTCAGCAACATCCACACAAACAACAGTAACTTTCATGGGGTTGCATAAAGCATTCCTAAATACAGAGGTTAGGCTGCTTTAAATCCCCTGTACCCCTATAGCTCTAAAATCACTTACGATTATGGATTTGTACTACTTGCTGTGAGAATTTCTTTTCATGTTTAACAGATTCCATTCTTTACTATGCAGAGTGGGTCCCCTAGTACTCTTAAGTTATATCCCTGAACAATTCTTCTCCCTTCCTATTACTACAGATGGATTGAAATGCCAAAACCCCAGGATACTCCTGAAGACAGCTGCATCCAAGGGCTGCTGAAGTCAAGTACAAGTAGCTCAGGTAGAATATTCCAGGGCCTCACTTGAGCTCAGCTAAGCAGTTCACAAAAATTAAGCAGGGCAGAGCATTTGGATTCATGGTGTTGGTTACTTACCGGACCTGCATTTTCTGCTCTGTCCGTTGGTGTTTTAACGTTAGTACCTTTGGAAGTCTCTACTCTTTTATCTGTTTGCAAAGACCCCAGGTAGTCTGGTGGTGGGAGGACAACATCGCCTTTTTCCACAAGATTTACAGAACTAATACTTCGGATTGGTGCAGGGCTGCAAGACAGAACCCAACAAATAACGTTTTCAGTTCCTTTAATACATATCTCTCACTTATCTTTAGCCCCAAGAAAGCACAAGAGTACATGAGCTGAAAGTTAAAGGCATACAATCCTATTGAAGTCCATGGGACTCTAAATTAAAGTCGGGGTAAAGCTACTTTTTAGGTCTTTGTGTAACCATTAAAACATATTAACGTAATCAAGGCATCATACTACAGACTCCTATAAATTATTTACTGTATATGTTAATGAACAACAAAGCACATGAGCAGAATAATATTTTAAATGCCAGAGAAGACTTGGGCATTTCTGCAGGTCCCACCCGACGTGTTACCTTGGCACTGGGACAAACGCCTTCTCTTCCGCTGGTTCTTCTAGTGGTCTAGTGTACGATGATGGAAACCATCCTTTTCTGTAATGGGAACGTTTTTCAATTTCATATTATGTTAAGTTGGGAAGATCTTTCAAAAGACATCAGTGGACAAAACAGTAGACTCAATGAATTGAGATTTAAACTTTTAAAGACCAGATTTCTGATGACACCAAATTAGTGTACAAAATCTCCCTAAAATAAGTGCAGTGATTTACCTGACAGAAAGACTCCACATCCCCAGTCAATGACAACCAGCAAAAAACGTAGAAAATAATTTAGTAGTATCTGCTAACAAAATTGTGAGACACGTTTTTCCTTCATGTTCAAATTGGGTAATATATTGATTATCTTACACTTTAGTTGAGTCATGCTCCCCGTAAAGCCAGCCATCCTTTTCTTCAGCCACAAGAAGCGTGATGATATCACCCTGTGCAAAGCTAAGCAAAGTCTTGTTACTTCCAGCAGTATGTGGGAAGATTGTCTTTACTTTTTGCCTTTTCATTATATTTAGTCCCGTGGCAACAGATGTGGAACGTGATAAACTGGCATCATCTGAATTCTCTGTCAAAAAAAGAAAATCAAAGCAAAAAAAGCAAAATTAGCCACACACTAACAAAACTAAATACACTTAGTAGTGTACAGGAAAAAAAAGTCAATGAAGGAATACCCAAGTGCAACTCGAGTTCTGAGACTTTGTATCACTTTGGTTTCCAATTAGACGCCTCTCAATTGTCTGCCAGTGTTTCATATCACCATGAAGTTCTTAACAGCATATGCATTTATATACACACACACTCCCCTTCCCCCCCCCCCCCCCCCCCCCCCCCCCCCCCCCCCCCGTAAAGTATATTGTAAACACATTTTTAAGGAAGAAATTCTGGCATTGCTATTATCACATTAAAGAGTTCTGCATTTCTTATGCTGTTATCTAGGCTGAGTTTCCTCCCTTCCTTGCCTATAGTACAGAAAGTGGGGAAAAAAAAAAATCAGTATATCATAAACTTAGAAAACTGATCTTAATAGTATTTTGCATTTCAGGAAAGAAATACAAGACTGCTTATTTTGTCCCATTTCTTCCCTAACTGCTCCATGCCCTTACAGGAAACCAAAGTGAGACTGTAGCAGTTTATGTCTACCTGTGAGCACTGAAATAAGCACACAGATGTACCTTGTTCACTATTACAGAATGTATTCTTCAGATAAGATTGGAAGTCATAAGAGCAGTTAAGCTGGGTTAATCAGGGATGCACACATAAAGTGATTAAAGTAGAATCTACCTATCTTGACCTGCATTTTACTGCAAACAATAATCTTCTTCTTACAACACATATTTCTCCTGTTAGACCACTTATATAAATACTTTGTAAAGACCATTTTCTGTTCCTCTATACATCCTGGAATTCACATTCTCTTAGTGGACAAAAAGTCCCAAGATAATTTCGAACACGGTAGTGTGTCATTTACACTTAGATAGTTTGCAACAGTGACACTCACCTGAATTATTTAGTTTTTCTGAAGATGTCTTTGGAGCTGCTGCAGGATGGTTAAACATATCAACTAGCGGACTGGTGTACGCCCTACCTGTAGGAGCAGGGGGCACCTTTGATGCATTCTCATGATGAGGATAAAAATCATTTCCAATCTAAAGTCACAAAAACAACAGTATCACAATACTGAGGACACAGTGACAACTTATCTGCACCATTAACTTCTAAAAAGCAATGCTTAAGTATTCCGAAATGATACATGCTTGGACCTGTCAGAAAGTCCTTATGTTCCTATGAAATTGCTGCAGAATAGTTTGTAAGAGGCTTCTGTCCCTTGATAAACGTTTGTTAGTGGGAATGCTATGGTAACCCTTTTTTTTTCCACCAATAGCAGTTACACCTAGATAATCCCCAGACTTTTTTTTTTTAGAAGTTTACAAATATAATTCAACAACTAATGGTGACAGAACATACAAATAGGTAGAATTTAGAATTTACCCTGTACTCTAATACACTAATAAGAATCATGAAGGGAGGAACGAAGAAGGAAAGAAAATAGAAAATAACATGTTTATGTTGAACTAAAGGGTATGTCATTACTATTACTTACAGATAAGAGCATAGGAAATGGAAGGATTAGAACAAAAGTAGTTCGGAGGCTGGGCTCTGCAGTAAAAGCCCTGGGCACCCAACTGAGAACAGCCTTGTTTGGATATGTGCTTCCGCCCACTACACTGTGTATTTTTCCAGTAGCAGAGCTTCAGCTTAAGGATTTTTCTTTCATCCCCAACCCCAGTATATTCCAGCTGAGGTACACGATAGATTCGATCCCAAATGCTGAGGTACAGAAGACGCTAGTGAAGCCACTCTGCTCCCATGCAAGACAGCGCCTTTCAACCGTCAAAGAACAACATACCATGGTATTTCTCTCTATCATTGGCGAAGGCTGTGGAGTTCCTGATATTGGAGTGGAACCAGGTGTCCTTATTTCGTCTATCATCATTCTGACTTTTTCAGGCACTTTGGTGGCATCACTACAGATTTCCTGCCACCCAGGCAGCTTAGATTTTAGGAAGTCCGCACACTGCATCCAAATTTAAAAGGTACTTGTCAAAGATACACTTTTTCGTAACATTACACAGACCTGCTTGTTAATTTTCATTATACCAAAATGATAACACCAGCAAAGTGGAAGTGTTTTCAAAGATTTTCCTAAGCAATACCTCTTTGAAACAAATAAGATGCTGTAGAAAGTGACTCTCTTTCTTCAGGGTCAGATACTGGAAATACCTGATGAGTCCATACATTTTTTTCATAATACATGATTTTAAAATAAGTCACAGTAACCCTTTATTGTTGCTACAATACGTTTCAGAGAATATTGCATTGTAAACATTTTCTATGAACTAATGACAACACTTGTCTGGCACTCCAGCGTTCCTAAGTGCCATTTTAGCTATTTATGGCAGTGTGAGCTACATCCTGCAGGAGATACTCCAGATCTCCTCTATGGTTAGATTTCAGGAGTTTCATTTCTGTTTATAGTCATGCCACTGACCTGAATGTGATAGAAGTGCATGTGCTGGGTAAAGCTGCAGTGCTTGTCAACCAGGAAACAGAACCTTCTTTTTTCTTCAAGGAGAGCTTCTCTGCAGCCTTCTGCAATAAATCGCTGAATATCACTCTGTCGAGAGCTCACAGTTTCCAAATACTAAGGAAAAAAAGAAAAAAAAAATCACATACAGTCTCCGAGTTTTATTCAATAATATATCCAATTACTGAAGCAAACTCCGAAAGAAAAAGCTTTTGGAAATGGGTAGGGTGGCTCTGCTTTCTCTTTTCACGCACGCACCTAACTTATCTAATTTTGTCAGTTAAATTTGTGTTCTTATCACAGAAAATCAATAATCTGTTTAGGCAGTGAAATGGGGGCAAAGTGAAGCAAACCAAGAAACAGTCTTTTAGCCTCTAAATAAAATGCTGCAGTAGGTAAGAATATGACATCAAAGCAGCAACAGTGCTGAGCAATTTTAAGGCCACAGGTGTTCTGATTAGAGCAGTTACCTTCATCTGCTCCATCACAGTTAACATTTATTCTCTATCACAATGATGAATCTCCAACTCATTTTAGAGAGGGGCAAATGAGTTACTAAAAAGACTAAACTATGTCTGTCTGAGGTTGTGAGGATTCATGGCTAAACTGTGATTAAATGCTAATCCTTGAATTCCCAGCCCAATACCTTAAAAAAAAGAACTGTTACTAATGCAGGTTAAAGGATAGGTAGTAAGAAATAGGAGCAAGTACTATTTATGTTTACTGTACTGTGTTATAAACAAAGCTTTCTTTGAAAAGAAAATTAAAATAGAAAAATATGGAGAAAAAAACCATAAGCTATCACAAAATAAAAGTACTGTGCAAATAAAAATGTCATGCAAATAAATATATCAATGGCAAGTATTTTCTGAGAGATACCTGACAAGCAGCATATGACTATTTAAAATATAAAGTTTCTTTTCATTGCCTTGCCATTTCTTATTTCGCCTTAAGATGGCAATGCTGCTTTAAGATCAGTAGGAAAGGCAGTAAGTGATAACAGTTCACATTTACCTACTTCGGGAAATTAATTTATAGCAAATTCCTAATGTATTTGCAGAACATAGTTGACTGCCTGTGTAAACCTCTGCATAAAGGTGTAGTTACAGTACTTAAAAAAAAAAAAAAGTCAAGTAGTGGTCAAGGGATGAAACCTAGAAACTGAAGCAGAAGTCTGAGTATGTTACACCAGAGCACTCCAGAGCTCAATTTCAACGGTAATACATTCTCTAGGAGTGCCTTCAGTATAAACCAACTTTGAGGAACCAAAAATGGATGTTCTTCGAAACCGTAGAGTTTAACTGTTGCCAAACAACTTACAGAGGAGTTATGTGTATTAACTAATAACATTGCATATACAAAAATTGGGGTAAGCTTCAGAAGTCAAGCTTTAAAACAAGACTTGGATGTGACCTGTAACAGCTTAACATTTTCTGTTGGCCTATTCTCATACATAGAAACAAACAAATAAGAGACAGTACACCAACCTCCATTTCTTTATGCTCATATTTCATTACATTTCGTGCTCCTTGGCTTTTCCTTCTGATTTTTTTCAGCTCAGCCTGAGACTTCTCTAAAGAATCTAATTTGCTTCTGTGTTCAGTTTGGTACCTCTTTAAAGTTGCCTGCAAGCAAAGCATTTAAAACATCTCGTAAAGCACTCAGCCATGTAACTGGGTAAGCGACTACAAAGCATTACCATAATCTATAAGGTATCGCTCATACACATCAAATGAGTTAGGCAATTGCCTTTCAGCTTCAGTTTACAAATGCCATTATGTCATGCACTGGTTCCCTTTTTACCTCAAAATAAGCATGAACATTTTTGCTATGTTCATGTACCTAAAGCTCAATTCCAACGTATTGATTAATTAACTGTTCAGGGACAACTTCTGAAAAATTATTTGACTAGCAGTAGATAAATAAAATATGACTTTTAGAACTGAATGTACTTACCGTCATATATTTTACATCCAGGTCTGTTTTCTTCTCCAGTTCAGATATAATTTCTTTATGAAATTTTTTGAACTTTAAAAGCAAATGAATAAAGGGTTATTAAAAATGGCAAAATAGTTTATAACTTCAAAATGAATATAAATTAAGAAATAAATTGTTAACTTACACTCTCCTCTAGACTATCATTAAGTTTCTTGTGTGTTCTTGAAATTTCTACGAGAACTTGGCCTGTTGATAAACATACAACCATATTTGTTTCTGTCATAGAGTTCTGAAGTTAACAAAGCGCAGTGATAAAATAAATCTAACTAATATCTCTCTTCACTACAATATATTTCAGAAGGATAGGAAATTTCTTTTTGCTTATCAGAGCAGTTTAAATAAATAACTAGATCTGGCCACAGACTAACCAAGAAGCTCTTAAGTGACAGAAGAGTAATTAACCACGCATTATTATTCAAAAGGAACATGGAGTGCCAGACAAAATAAATCCTTCCTTTTCACCAGAATAGCTCATATTGATTTAGTAACAGCTTCTTTGCTTGCCAAGTCAGAGAACAGCACATGAGAACTAGAGATCGTTTAGCATCCAAATAGCTGCTATCCATTTTTCAGTCTGAAAATGAAAATTTTATGTTTATTAGCTAACTGCACCTTCGGAATTAGCAAAGTAACCTTTCACATTCATTCACAGCACACCTGCTGAAACAGATCAGATACATATGCTGGTTAATTTCCCATGCTGTTCTATCAGCAGTTACAACCTGAACGTACAGCATTAACTAACAGCCAAGAGCTGTCAGATTTCTCAGCATCCCCTCTACAGATCCTAAATGTGCCTGTTATGCTCTGCTGTCTTCCAGCCCAAAGTTACACAGCTTACTTTTAACAGCAGGCGGTTAAAAGCTGGACTGTTTCATTTCGCTTTAGGAGAGTATAGAGGAAAAATACCTCAGTCCTTCGGGTGTGGTTCTCTGTGTAAACCAATGGAAACTGTGCCTGCTGCGGTCCTGCCCTGTATGCAGACAGCCACATCATCCAGCTCTGAACACAGATGGCCACATCATTCCCCTCCCTTCTTTGCACTGGCACCGACAGGCCGCCTGTGTGCCAGTCTCATCTGGGAGATTGCAACATCCTGCTGAGAAGAGCAGTTGGAAGTGTCCTGAAGCTCCCAGTTTGACTTCACCCAAGCGAGACCTGTAGATAGTTACCAGGTCTCAGCCAGGAGCCTTCACAAAAAACTGAAAGTGCCGTGGCCACGCTCAGATTCCCAAACTGTGTCATGTCTGAGTCTTGACTAGAGATGTGTTTTACTGCCATTCCATTTCCATAGCAAGAATGGCAGGTCCAGTTTCCCAGCTGGTTCACTGGCATGCCTCCACCAGTGATCTATTCCTCAGTCAGCCTCGCAGGTATCCCACCATGAAGTATTTCCCATACAGCTGCTTCAGTATGGAACCTGCAGTAGCGCTGCCCCAACATACAGGCTGGCCTTGCAAAGCTGCACCCAGTTCTGCAACTCCTGTTACACAGCACTGGCAGAGTCACCGCATGGGACTGCTCTGTGTGGCCCCTCCTGTGTGGTATCTTTTCAAAGGAAAAAAAGGATGCAGTAACTGTTCAACATGCTGCTTTACAAATCTTGTTTCCTACCATCCATATTCTTTGAGAACCCCTCCGGAGTTAGTCAGCAAAGACTTATCCTATAATGCTTCAGATCCTTCAGGTGCACAGAAAAGCTCCCAAAAGGTGCAGACAATTAAAAAATTTGGCTAAATAAAATGAATGGCAGAACGTTTCTAAGTATCCTAACTTTTATTCTAATCTTCCCCTTTCTCACCACCTTCCTAGCCATCAAAACCTGTCTCCCCATAGCGCACGTCAGGGATTTGGTAACATTCCCATAGAACACAGATGCATTCCCATCGCACTTGGGTATTATCATCTTTCTCATATTATGACATCTCAAAATTTTAGTTTCTTTGAAATGAGAACCGTATCTCCTGTCCTGTGAAGCAGTATGATACAGCAGATCTTTAACTAAATAATGGAAAATGTGGGTCTGCATTATTGTTTATGGGGAAAGACGAGGCAGCTCAAGAAGAAAAACCTGTGTCTCCTGACTTCTCAAGAATCTGTCTTCATGCCCCAATCCCCATCTCTGCATCTCTCTGCACAACAGACTACAGGAGACTTGGAAGAAGGAATCAGAATACAATGAGAATAGTCAACTCCTTGATTAGCAAGAAAAAGGAATTCACACTCAGGACAGAGGGGTGCTCTATTTTTTTACACATATATATTGCTTTTGAGTCCTTCTGCACAGCCTACAGAGTGCTGTGCTTTTTTGGTTGGTATTTAAAGTTGCTGGTGACTACAGAAATATAAATACTATGAGAAGTGAGAGGTGCTATGATTATTAGCTGCTCATATGCAATAGAAAAGTAAATACAATGTAGTTACATAAACACTTGAAGTAACAGACATGAGTAAGCCACCTTGTTATTTTAAGGCTGTAGAAGGGAATACACTTCAGTCCATGGTGTTGCTGTTTCACCAAACTGAAAAGATACATTCTAGACTGTAATGGGCTTTTAAAATTAGAAGAGTTTTGCAAACACCTGCAACTTCAAAAGGAAAATAGGGTTAAAAGAAATAAGGAGGAAAAAAAAAAAGAAATACAAATAACAGTACAAAGCTTGGTTGGTTTTAAATATGCAGACTAGACAGCTATTGGGGAAGCTACAAAAATTCAGGATGAGTGGTGAAGTGGCCCTCAGAATAACTGCCCCTACAGATTTGTGTTCTTTTTAAAATGAATTTATTCTTCCTCTTTGTAAAAAGTACGTTCTGAGAATCTGCTGCCAAAGCAGCACACTTAGCTAATACTTGGCAATGCGAACGCAGCCAGCCCCAGCGTTCCAAGTACTGACAGACATCCAACAACGTCGGGTATTGACTCAGCTCCGCATCGCTCTCACCCTCCCTTCCTCTGGCCTGCCCTGCCACCACAGTGTAAACGCTCAATAAAACAACCCATTCACCTGGTGCGTCAAGAATGGAAAACCTGACGCTCGGAGGCTGTTATTTTTGTCTCACACAGCACTTGAACTGACTGCAGCCTTCTAGTCTTCAGGCTTTGAATGCTTGGTTAGAAATAGGTTTTTTCATCCTTATTACAAGAATACTGCCAAAACATGTCCTGAAATGAAGAGAACTCTAAAAACTACACTTCCTTCAAAATGTTTTGTGATGGATTATTTGACAAGCTTATTTTAGAGTGTTCTAGAACACCTTTAAATAGTATTTTTAGATATCAGTGGCTGCAGCTCTAATTGCATTTTGTTTTTCTTTCAACTAAAGACTCCCTGTGTGCTGTGCATCAGGCAAAAGCCATTTTACGCTGGAATCTCCTTACTGCCGCCGGTAATCCACGGGCACTGTGTGTACTGGCTCACCCATTTAATTTCCTCTTTCATGTTTTGAATCAACATTTTGAAAAGAACCCATAGTAAGCACACTCTGACCTATTAAAATTTAAATTATAGTTTAAGTTATAGGTCAGATTCTGCACTTGGAATAGAGGACATTTTTACAGTGAACATACACCACGGTCCTGCGTTGCCGGTTTAAGATAAGGGGTTAGCCACATTTTGATGGCCCTCCAAAACAAGATTTATACAAGGAGACAAGTTTTTGTAAAAGACTAATTTGGGAAAGGCAAAACAACCCCTAGCCTACATATAACAGTGTCTAAGTGGAAGGGAAATCGAGCAACTTCAATATAATATTTTGATTTTAATTACAAAGGTATGTTATAGAATAGCTCTAATAAAGACAGTAGGTTACTCTGGATTAATAACAGCATAAGCTAAGGCCAGGCACTAGCGTTCAGTAATTATTCATCTTGAGAAAAGGCACAGAAAACTACTTAAGGTGAAGACAAAAACATTTCTCACACCAACTAAAAATACTCTGCTATGTATTAAAGCTGCTCATGATTGGGTTTTATATGAGAGTTCATAATACACCATAACCAAATATGAACCTTGTCATCATTTACCGTCAAACCCCAAACCTATCAGACACGATGACGTGACGGGAGTGCACGATAACACACCACGTAAGGCCTGTGGCAGGCATACTGTAAACTTGAACCAGCTTTAGGCATCATATTATGCAGTGAATTAATAAACCAAAACCACCGGTCTTGATTATAAACGGAACTATTCAAATACTTGCCTTTCAAAGATACTTTTTCTGCTTCCCATTCCCTCACACCCTGAACGTGAAATCTTTGTGACTAAAAGAGTAGAGGCACATTAAATATTCCCACATTTGTTGCAGAAAACAAAAATGTAGTTGTAAATGTTTATAGATATTTGTTCTGTTATTTGGCTATTACCTTATAAGTGCACTACAGGGAAGAGAAGAAACAATCTCTTTCAGATAGGGATTTTTGGGGAACATCTCAAATACCTTAAATAACTTAAAAATAAAACAAACATTTCTCATGTATGGTTCTTGAAACCATGCTGCATACTACAGCTATAATCTGAAATATGACCATGACCAGTAATGCCAAATTCCGTGGTAAATTTATTTTAGTTTCAAATAGGTTCAATGCACAGGTAGAAAGATCTTTTAAGCTCAAACTTAAGGAATTTGTGGAATATTTTTAGGCTTAACCAAGGCTGTTGGTTGTATCTATATTTTCTGTTGAGAAGATAAGACAGACTGGAATTCCATTAATGCTGTTTGGTTTGTTACCATAAAAAAAAAAAATCACCAACCCAAAATGTATAACAGTTATTTCTCCATACACAGCATCCCATGAGCAAGAAGACTTCCATAAAAGATTGTCCTCACAGTACGTGAAAAAGAAAGAAAGCAATTTCCGACAGAAGTACTCATGGTAAGGCCAGAATACAGAACTGCAGCAGTTACCCCTCAGCGATCGTACTGGCTATTTATCTTGTCAGCTTATGTTGACTGTTGTTAGGAACAGCAGAACAGAGGAATTATTTCAAGTCAGAAACAAAAATGGAATTCAATCAATAGAGTTCTGTCATAGAAATAAATATTAACAGCTATCAACAACATCACTTAAAACTGTTAAAATACTAAATATCTATATTAGAACCAGTAACAGTATTAAATGCATCAACTTACTTGAAACATACCTAAATTTTCTATTTAGAGGAGATAATTCTTGAAAAATTTAA